TGGCTATATGGAATGTTCTTAATGCAGTGTTTTGGATGACAGCTGGATGGGAGGAGTTACTGGTGTTTGTCGGTTGGTTTCGAGTAGATGTCTGTATGAATTTAGTTTTCTACTAGTTTGGTTGTTGTGTCCAATAAAACATGTTTTGAGTTGGAGACTTCTGCCGTCAATTTTATTGAAAGATGGAAGTTGTTTACCTTTGATACAAAATCTTCCAGACTTTCTCTTCCATGTTTCCACTTCATTTCTATATCATCGATAAAGCGTACCCACTGGAATGATGTAACATTAACCGATACTATAAGTTGACCCTCCAGTTTCCCCATGGAAATATTAGCATACTAAGTGGCCATGTTTGTATGCATAGCTGGATACAGTGCAATTGATATGACTGTTATAGACTCCTACATTGATTGTGCAGTATTAGAAATTGACTGTTTTTACAAGGTGTTGACAACTATAATCAAATGATAAATAATTTTGGACCTTACTTCACATCGATATCTTTTGGTGAATTAATGAGAAAGGTAAAAACATTCCTGCTCTTTTTTTAATTATTGAGATATCCTACGAATAGCATCGTGGCATATTTCCTTGGAATCTACCGTGTCGCCAGAACCGATCAGGCAGTCGTAATAGCTAGAGGAGTTCTAACGGAATAATATCTCTAAGAAATGGTCAGTCGTAATTCTCTAATCAAATTCTTTATATTAATTTTTATCTTTGATAATAAACTCAATTTAATTCAAAACCAAAATTTAAAATATAGTAATTATTCATAAATACAAATCGTTTAATGATTCATCACACGTGCACACGAATGATGTCTCCTCGTTGCAGGTAATACCATATATAAAGAAAACAAAATTAGACTGTTTCAACATTCAATCTACACAATGAAAATAACCGGACTCTCGAGTATTTAATATTGTTTCAAAATATTAGCTTTCTGTTGGAACTCAACGCTTTGGCTATAATGCATTGATTTACAACATTAAAGCAAAACCATTGCCGTTTCTCATAATTTACTGTAGAAAAAGACTGTATATAAAGATGAACCATTTTCATGTCTTTCTTGTATTTATTACATTCTTTTTGTAATCACATGCAATCCCTTGATGAATCAAGTACATATTTATCTAAAACCAACAGAGATTGTTTTACCGTCCTGAAATTGGTCTCAGGTTAAGACCTTTACAATTATACATGACTGATGTTGGAGCAACCATAGCAGACCACGATATGCTTCATCGCCACGAAAGTACTTACTACCTTACTTGGACTAAGTCGTGTGTGACTATTAGACATTGTGCGGCCGGTTAATGTACACACGGAGTACTATTTAATTTCTAGTAGATGGGTCATAAATGCAGATTAGACACTTTAATGTGTGGCCCACATATTTATGTTTTAAGTTATAGGTCAGGAAGCGGCAAAGCAGAAGAATGGGCAGTTAGCGACGAGTCCTGGTGTCAACAGATGGATCTTCTTGGTCAAGGGTTTAGGCATTTCTAAAATCAATGGTGTCGTCTTGCACCTGGATGTTGAACTTTGAAAATACAAATTCTGCAATATTGAAGGTTTTTAAGAGTTGTAACTGGTTATATGTATCGGAAAATATCCGTGATTAAAAGAATAATTTTTTATATTTTTTTAATTGGTTGTAGTTTATCTTTCGATTGATTTTAATCATTGCTACTTTTTGCGGCTGAGCCTGATGCTTTGAGTTTGTGACTAAATTATGCTGTCTAATATTTGAGCAAAGTTTTTTTGCGTATCTGCTAGTGCAATTTTGCATACTAAAATTTTGTTTTATTAAATAATCAGGTACAGCATTGTGCAGTTGGCCCTGGTCGTCTGCGGATTTGACCACCTTATTTTTGTGCTTATTTTGGGATCAGATTAGTGACTTAATAATCTGTTAGTGAACTTGATATTGCAACTTTGTTCGGCATTGCCTGATGTTCTGAGCTAGGAACGCCTTATATTATGAAAGGTTTGTGGGTCAGATATGTGGGTCGAATGGTTTATTTGCTTGTAAGTGAACCAGTCATTGCCAAGTTGTACAATGTGGGTCGAATGGTTTATTTGTTTGTAAGTAAACCAGTCATTGCCAACTTGTACAGCTGAGTCTGATTGTCTGGGCTTATGGCCACTTTGTAAGGCTTAGTTGTTCTTCAATTTGTCAGAGTTTACATTATTTGTTTCCTGTCGATTCTCTGATACCAATACTGAGGAAGAAGGGAAGCGGCTTTATTTCCTTTTTTCCTTATTTTCGAATAGTCAAGTGCATGCAAGTTGTGTTAGCAGGAGTTTATCATGAGTGGAAAGAATAGATCTGTAATGGAGTGGATGTTTTTATAAGTAGCTGGATGGCATGAGTTGCGAATTAAAACTTACATTGTTGTTATTCCCTTGTTGTCAGAGAGCAGATAAAGGGGCCCTAGTGCACAGGAAGTCTGGATTGGCTGCCCATACCGCAAATCCTAGTGGGAATGATATCCCCAATTCTTACCCCAGTGGCATACATGTAGTTTCCACCTCATCTAGTCTAGACATATGAGATTTCTCCAGTTTCTAATGGATAGGAATGGATTGTTTGTTTAGTTGAGTGATTTAGTTGTTGTTGGTACCTTGTGTCCAAGCTGAGGGTTATACTTTTTCGTTTTTCACCTAAAGCAAAATGGTATCTCAGGATTGTTAAATATCGTGTCTATACTTGTTTTTTCTGATTGCATGAATACTGAATAAGTTATAGGGATTATCTGAATTTTCTGGGGGGGTTAACGCTTGACTGTCTTCGTTTTATTTGGGGCATTTATTGATAACGCCATGAACGAATTTACATCAGCGAATCCTTTCTGCGTTTCGAGATAGAAATTATAATTGCTTTTTTCCAGTTTGTTGGAACATATCCCGATATCCAGATAAAGAATAGCCAGTTGATTGTTTTCTGAGATATTTTGTAGATTTCATTGCCTTGAGCTGAGAACCTTTTTCCTGTCCTGAATAATGAAGTAGAGGTCAGTGATTTAGACATCATGTTAAGTATCTGGGATATTTGCAAATATGCATGGATTTATCGCTCAAGTGGTTCTGCTGCAGGCATATGACATCCAGTATAGTATATGCAAAATATTTCTGACACAACTAGGTTTTTGCAGCATTAACTTGATTTCGGTTTCCTGCAGAGCAGCATTAAGTTTCATAGCATAAGCAATTATTTATTTGTTAATTTATTTATTTATATATTTTGCTATTATATCATAGTTTTATTATAAGTTCTGTTTAAGATTGCTGAATCTTGCATTTTGTTTCCCATGCTCCTGTTATATATTTTGATTACTTGTCCAAATGGGTTTAAAATAATTAAAAATTATACGTTATATTGTTTCATAGTTCTTTTCTCGGTCCTCGTATAATTGAAAATTATTAGTTTTACTATTCTATCCAAAAGCAAGCTTACATTTTTATCTTTCCGCAATATTTAGCACGAATATACAGATTCATTAAACGAATTCTCTGATGTCAAATTTAATCAACTTTCACAAGTTGGGTCTGATTTTTCTAAACTGACAACCTTCCCATGCAAACTTAACACACAACACCAAACTTTCCGTTTGTCTCTAACTTTCAGTTCACTCTACATCGATAAATTACATTATTAAAACCAATATTACTTTATGAGAACATTTGGTGCAACAATCATCTTAAAAACACGAGAATGTGATGCAGTAATGGAATCAGTTAACAATAAATTATTGAGCAATGAAGTGAATATTGTTTGACAATTGGCTTCATTTCACTATTTAAAACTTTACTCCAATAACTTTGAATTTTTTTAAAAACAATTTTTTTAATACTTGGCTGGTAACGAATGTTTTTCTTCATAGAATATTTAGAAAGTACCAAGAATAAAAACACATTAATTAAATTGTGACTTTTCTTTTAAACGAACCTTGTCCTACTTACGAGGAAATATTGATTACTTTCGCAAATGTATGGACTACCAAAATTATTTTAATTAAGAATACAAACTTTTCCATCTATTAAATTGTATAATTATAAAGTAATTTTGCATTGTTAACATATTCTCCAGATGTGACACTAATCTTGACAATGCCCGTCTTTTCCCAAACAAAATAATGTTCGAATGTTAGATTTAAATTAGAGAAGAAATTTAAAGTATATTGTTATTTCAAGTAAACCAATCAATCGTTTGCCTTTGTTTTATTGTTATTACAATTTTGAATATGTTGCATTATGAGATAAGTTTATATCTCTGTGTCAGATTTAGTATCTTTTTAAATGTTCTTTGCACATCAAATATGTCCTCTTCTATATTGATTGAATTCACATTTTGCAGGTGGCAAATTACGGTCAAATAAATTCCGTAAGATTCATATGGGTATCATACAGAAGGCAACATAAAATAGATTTTTTTTTCATATTTAGTAACAGAAATTTTATTGTACTGAGGTTTCTAAAACACTACATAAAAAGTGCACTTCAAATAACAATAAAAGGCAAGGATAAGCAATCGAAATGTATCCATGAAATAATTTTACACATTAGATACTTATTATTTACATAGAATATTTTATATCATGCCTTTATTTTTTGCTTTCATTTCTTTATACATAACACATACAAGAAAACCCACTTCTATTCTGAATGTGGCACATTTATTTAGTCGTCCGTTGCGTCCAACACATATTGTTTCCTCTATGACTCCGTTGTAATTCGTATGACAAAGAAGAAGCACAACGTTATTAAACTTTGGATGATTCTCGCTCAGTCGATCGGATGTTGCTATGTTCATGCTAACACTCTTTAAATCTACTACCAATAATATTTCTACAGTGACATTTTATTTAGATTGGAACACTACTAACGGCACTGTCGTACCCAAATACTTGTGTGCCTGGTCATTTAAGTTTGGGCAGAATACTGTAAAGAAGACTGGTTTATTAAACGGTTAAAACGTTATCTAATCAGTAGACCGCTCCGGTGGCATAGTGGTTAGAGCGTCCGCCTCGGATGTGGAAGTATCGGGTTTGAACCCGGCCAAGTCATAAAAAACTTCTAAAAATGGTGCTAACAGCTGTCTCGCCAGGCACTCAGCATTGAGGTTAGTGTTAGGACTGGTCGGTCTGGTGTCAGGATAATGTGATTGGGTCGGACATAATGATACATGTCTGCAGAATTATGCCTCAGTGCTATATATCACTAGAAACTGTCACACTGCAGACATCGTAGTGATACGATTGAAAACTTGTTAAAGCTACGTAAAACAAATCCATATCCATATCTCACACACGCACACACACACACAAACATACACATCACGCACACACACACATACACACATCTAATCAGTATCAAACTGCTTCTCTAACGTAGACTATAGAGGCTAATTTATTGGGGGTGAGGATCGCGATATATACAGGTTCTTGTTCATTAGGTCTCAAATTCACTAAACTCTCCAAAATGATCATTCTTATGTTGAGAGTGATCAATATCGTTCGAATTTGTAACGTTATTTCCTTCACAACGTATTCTAGGGACACCAGGAAATAACTAGTCATAATATTTACAATTTTCATTACCAGATGATGGCAGTATCTATGAAAACATAAGAAAAAATACCTCCAACTTCTTTTGTACAGAATTACAAATATTTCCATGTGTTAGATACAAAAGACTAAACAGGTTTTAATAACATTTTGCATCTTTTCCACTGTATATATCTCTGCGGGAAAATATTCATCTTGACTGATGTATTACAAACCAAATAATTTCGATTCCAGGAGTAATTTCGAGACCAAAAAGTAAACATAACAACAAGAATAATGCGGAGCCGGATTAATCTTGAAAAAGCCTATAATTTCGATATTTTATAAACATAATGTCTTTAAGGCATTTGGGACTGAGATAAGAAGGTCTTTATTTTTTTTAAAAAATCTGCAATATGTAGAAGAATTTAATCATTTCCATCTGAATTTGAGCGATAGTGTAATCATGCATTGTCTGATGTATACATGGATATTTAGGGAATATGGTCCATGAATAAAGTAGCTTGTAATAGATCCATACTTGTCATCAATCCAGTGGCGTTAACTGGGGAAGGTGCTGACCTTATTGGGTGTCATCAATAGAGAGGGTAACACAAAAATGACTGTCAATAAAATGTTTGAAATTTTATGCATGAAGGAGGTCCATGACGGTGACACCACGAGTTACCGCTCATTACTGTCTATACGATTTATGAATTTTCTTGCACGACGGAGGTCTTTTGGGGTGACACCATGAGCTACTGCACTGTATGACACCAACCTTAGTGACACCACTCCCGTAAATCAATTAACAGAATTCACTATTTGATAAACTCACATACGTACAACATATACATTAATATATGTAATGATAGCGACTGCGTATTTGAGAAGCATAATTATATCCCAGTTTTCTTGGAGCAAATTCATGCTATCTATGGCAATATTAGCAATTATTCATTATCGTTAAATTCAATGAAAGTATGGCCATATAAATAATTGTTCTGGCTGGGTTAATCATGGGAAGATAATTACATACGCAAAAAATTATTGCTGTAGTTTATAACGGTTCAAAGATTAAAATAAGAAAATGCGTTATTCCTGTTGTCCAAGGTTCAACTGAATGCACGTAAACAGCTATCAAGTGTAAAAGTCAATTCCTTCCCTTACACTTTTCTTAAAGATATATTACGTCGTCAACTTCTACTTGCCCGATCAACAGTCTAGAAGACTGAATATGCTGTAAGATATTCAACCTGAAGTTTGTAAATGAGTCGTTTTTACATAAATTCTAATCGCTTTGAAAAATAATTAAATCTTTTTCTTAGTTGATGGTTCATATGAGGAAGGGTGTATTTGAAACACGAGACATTATTTCTTCTCGTGTGTGGCACAGAATAAGAGCAAATCAGGAGCTGTCGAACATCATTGAGTAAAAGAGCGTAAATAAGTACGCAACCGGTTTGTGAGATTCAACCACCGATTCTCCCCTGAAGAAACATAAATGGATAATAACAACTAAATAAGCAAAAGCAGCACTGAAAATATATGTCATACATTACAGGGCATGATGGTGGGATTTAAATACCAATTGATCACGTGATATGTGGTATATGAAGTATAAGTTTAATGTGATGTCTGTGTCGGATAAAGACATTTTTGGTAAACGTCATTTCTATCGTTTATTGTTGTTAAGACCTGAGAGAGTTATTTGTTGATATTCATAGAAGTGAGATTGTTTGAATAGATTTCAGATAGGTGCAATACATCTTCCGTGAAAGGAATGGATGAATCGGGGTGTAGTTTTCCATTTTTTGTAATTTTATATTCAGTGACCTGAATAGAAAATATAATTCAAGCTAAGATGGAAACACAAATTGTGGGGATGTCATGACATGTACTTTTAATTTTATAAGATCTGATGAAAAGGAATTTTACGAATTATTCAGATATTGTTGATGGCATTATTAAAATATAAAAGCTCTTTAGGGCTAAAGGAAACCATCCACTCAGAATATTCACAATCTCAATCGGTGAAACGTCTTCTGTCAAATAGATGAATGAATGCGCTCCTATTTAAAAGGGACGAATATTCTTCGAATTGGAAACCATAAAATAAAGATAGAAAAAACCACAGAATTCTAGCATCAGCAACAAAGCATCGCACAATGGTAGCCTTGGAACTTTGTGAGATGAAAAGGTGCAGCTATGATAGAGGGGGCATATTATGTTATCAATCACCGCAACGAAACAATAAACACGAAATCAAGTGCTAACACTAACTAATATGCTCCTCATTATTGCTGAGTATATTATTGCACAAAATAAAAAAATTCAAATTTTGTTAGAGGAAAAATGTTTGTTTTAAACTCAAGCTTTAATGTCGAATTACCAAGAAAGAAGGGCATGAAATTTGTTGTTTTCAATGTTTTTTTAGATTTGGTCTAAACACTAAAATATCTTGAAACCAGTTCTGGAATCAAACCAGTTTAGCAGTTCGGCAATCTTACTGTATTGTTTGTCCAGATCAATTTCAATGCAGTTTACACTTCCACAATATTGTGCATCCATCTTGAATATATATATATATATATATATATATATATATATATATATATATATATATATATATATATATATATATATATATATATATATATTCACGCTCTTTCAAGACCCTATTCAGAGTTCATCTTATTACTGAAAAAGTCCATATAGAAAATAAATGTAAAACAAGCAGTTGCGTTAAGTACCATGATGTTGCGCGGGTTAGGTGTATTTCTCAGTGTCTTGTGGTGAATCTTTTGGACATAACGGGTCGAAACTATATAAAATGATGATAAGAACAATTTTATTTCACTAGGGTCGCACCAGAAAAAATGAGATGAAAGAATAATATGTCACTTTGCATGGGTATACATCAAACTGTTACTACGATTTTACGTAAGTTGATTCACTTAGATTAACTGCAATCTTACATTATATTAGCATGGGTCTAATAAATGTGACTCGTGTTAGCACGAGCTTTTGTGTAATAGTAATTTGTCGGAAGTAAAATATTCAGAAGTAGCTGTGTAAATCATTGGCTGATACTTGTTCAGGCTTTACTAATGTCCAGATGGAATGCGAAATTCCACATGTCCTTCGTGCATTTGTGCACGAAACGATGTATTAGTCTATTTTGTATGCTTAGTTATCTGTAAGAAAGTCTAGTGATAGCCGTCCTTGCAGTTCAGTCACGATTATTACCTTAAAAAGTGTAGTTTTGTGCTGGAAGTTGACTGTTTTTATATCTACGTAGAACGACATGTGTATTGTTAGTGGAAATAATTGTACTTCGTCTACTTTCTAAATAATTACTTTTCCTGGAGAACTACACTAATGATTTGGACAGCGAAATTTTCTGAAATACTTCTAAATTGGAACGGAACAATACAAATTGTGATTCACTGTCAAATTTCTGGACATTTTGGTGTTAGCCTTCGTCTTACGTCTGACGTCATCCGCTATTTTGAACCGGAACTGAATTTCAGACTGGGTCATTTTAAAACTATTTGTTCACAGAATTTTTGTGTTTATATATTTTGTACAAATTTTGGGCTCTTCTTCGTAAATAATATGTCTTGTTTCATATATTTACCTGTTTTCTGTTTTCTAGGGAAATAAATTAGTTTTGTTAAAATTTAAAAGCTTATTGTCTTTACTCTTTCTTTGAGTTACTTTGAACGAGCCGATATGTAACAATATATATTTTCGTTTAAGCAAATAAATATATTAGTAAATAATACTCACACTTCTGACAAAAGATTTATTCTCCAGTAGCTGAGATATCAATTGATGTACATGTCAGCTGTTTGCACATAAATGACAAAACTAATTTCCGACATTGGCTACGGTTTGGCATTTGTTATTCAAAACGATGCCTGATCCGTACATGGAGGCTTACTCGAAGATCGATTACACTAATAAAACTGTTTTCTTGAAAAGACTAATCTTCTCATTATTAGAGAAAATTAGATCGATGCGTAGCTTGTATAATGCTAGTAAGTGTAAATAATCTAGGTAGGTATTATCCATAATTTATACAAGAAAGGATAAACATGTACAATAATTTGATAGAATTCTTGCCCGTAACCAATTGTTGGCTTAGTTCAATATTGGAGCCTCACCGGGTAATGACGTTAGTCACGACTGTTGATATTCACGCTTCTACTTAAAGTTTCAAATTATCGTGAGCACTGTTTGTTTTGTTTTGTTTTTTTGTTGTTGTTTTTTTTTTTGTTTTTGTTTTTTTTTGTTTTTTTTTGCTCTTCTTGTGGATGATAGAGCTATTAATGATTGTAATGATGACGTATTATCGTCTTTTTTGTAACTAAAATTTTGATTTTATTGTTAGAAATTGTCTCTCATAATTGTCTATATACATCGGGCGTCCCATTCCAATATTTTGGGTGAAAACATTCTATATAATAGCAGTAGCTAGCTTAGAGAAGAAAGTACTTTTAAATTGAATGCATACT